GACAAAAACACAATAGCTTTGAAAAATATGCAAAATCATAGTTCTATGTACAAGTACTGGACACCTCTCCGATACTGAGTAGGTATCGATACCTTGATTGATACAGGTACAAGTTTTGATTTAAGTAATACCTTAATGGTATCCATTTATCCCTAAGCATAAATGAATATTACATATTTTACATATTGTTTGTGTTTCTCCTTGGNTTCAACAGCTTTCCCCATACAACTTTGTTACCAATTCACACACGTCATTTGAATGATATTCCAGAAAACAATTCCTTTTTGGTTGCAAGCATTAATAGGGATGAGTCGATACAAGTAAATCCAAGTACATACTCGATACTTCTCTCAATTTACCAAGTATTTTTGTACTCGATACTTTTTACTGCGATCCAAGTAGGTATCGAAAAAGGGTACTTGTATCAGAAGCGCAAAACTTATTGAGCCTTATCATGAGTTTCATTTTCCCCGAACCGGTACGCTTTCACGTTTGGTTTCCACGTAATTACTATGGGCGGAATAAAAATTTTCGGGTGAAAATTTTTTCGGGCGAAACTTAGGATAAGGATCTGTCCCTTGAGAGAGGCTTTTCTCAAAAAAAGGTACAACTATATCAAAATCTCGAAACCGCCATTCAGGAAAACACTTGGAAAGTAGATGTTTTTGGGAAATATATCAAAAAAGGTGTTCTTTCCTTAAACTTATTTAATATGAAAAAACTTTATCTATCAATCTTGTAAAAATGAATTCTATTGTTTTTGACATCAAATACTATACAAAAATAATTGTTGTCTTAAATTTTTATATGAACAAATATATAAAGACAAATAATCTTGTAAAAGTGCATATTTTTTGTGACAAAAACACAATAGCTTTGAAAAATATGCAAAATCATAGTTCTATGTGCAAGTACTGGACACCTCTCCGATACTGAGTAGGTATCGATACCTTGATTGATACAGGTACAAGTTTTGATTTAAGTAATACCTTAATGCTATCCATTTATCCCTTAGCATAAATGAATATTACATATTTTACATATTGTTTGTGTTTCTCCTTGGCGGATTTTTTGCATGTCCTTTTTCCTGATCGATCAAACCTTGCAGGATAATGTTCATATCCATCAAATCGAATGTTTTCAGGGGGGCGGTATGATTTCTGTCCAACGTCAGTATTCAAATTTGATGCTAAAGGTGGTTTACCAAGAGCTCGTCTTTCGCTACGTCCGGATATTTCGTTGGGGCGTTAGAATGTGTCCTTCGAAACAATAAATATGCATTTACCACTGTCATATCAACGAGGTGATAAAATAAGCGGATAAAATTAGCCCATCCATGAGGTCTACCCCTCCCATATGCTGATTATATTCACGGATTATTTGAGGACATTCAATTTCGGCGTATTTGTGGTCCTTTTTATTGGACCTAGTGACCTTTGGCATAGTTTCATTGCCATCATGCCCTTTAAAACTGTTCCTGCCAAAATTTTTTGTGTCCTTCCATAAGACTGTAGATATATCGCTACCCAAAACGTTCCCGACATATTCAAGAGAAAACCCGCGTTCTTTCCTTTTGAGTTCTTCCGAATTGTCGACTGGAAGCTTACAGTTTGAAATGCGATTGGAACGTATGGTACCCAAAGCATATATACCTCTAGTTCGAAGATATACGAGCAATGGTATAGTTGTGTAAAAATTGTCGAAGAAAAGAATATGGTTTTTGAAGTCTGGTATGGTTTGTCAGAGACGTGCCACCACGTTTGCTGCAGCTCCTAAATCCAACATTCCGGTAATAATAGTATTATCACCACTGCCATGGTACACTTCAAACATGTAGGAAAAGCCGTTTGAATCACACAGAACAAATATTTGAATATCCCATTTATGCGGTTTTGCTGGCATATACTGCTTTAGACCAGAGGTCATTTTGGTGGCAGTGTTCGGACCCCAACTCGATTCAGGACTAAAAATCTGAGCAAAAAAAAAATTCTGTACCAGATTGAATTTTTTATTTTCGTTTCTGACATTAATTGTTTGACTTAAATATTTTCTATTCATGCAAAAATAAGAACGCGAGGCAATGTAAGGATAATACGTTAAATATTTAGGTAATATTTAGCATTTTCTATAAAGTAGAACGTTTCTAACACTTAACTTTTTAAAGTGCAATAGGATCTAAACCTTTTCTACTTTATATAAATTTCATTCTACATATATTTTTTAATAACTTAAGTAAAGTTCTGCATCCGCCAATTTCTACAGCCATACATAAAAAATAACCAAATTACTTTATTGACGCATTGCTATGAAAGAGTTACTTTTTAACAGTGAGACTGGGCTAACTTTCAATTTTTTTACTGAAACCGGTGGTGAACACTCAAAAAACGGCCTCAAGAGGGGCATAACATGAATGAAAAAAAACGGAATAGATTTGCAGTCAAGCGGAGTAGATGAGTACATATCAAATTTTTTCAAAGCTGGAGTAAATCTAACCTGATCTTAGTCTAGTCCAAACACTAGTAAGGAACGAATTTTTTACATTTTAACGCTAATGACCCACAGATGGCGGGAAAACACAGGGTTGTATCAGACTTTCGACGTGGTTTCGAGTTGGTTAGCTTTTAACCATCTCGGTGAAATGGTTAAGTGCTGCCATTTTTATATGGCGAAATTACGCTAAATGAAGTGGGTTATCGGGATAACCAACTCAACAACCATAACTACGTGATTAGCTCCGGTGGGGACATGGTATTAGAGTCATCAGCAAAACTTAAATATTTTTTTATTTTCTAAAACCGACTTCGTCGCATTGATTTTTGGATAGGAGTAAAAGCATACTTTCCCCAATATTTTTTCAAATTTTGATATTTGTATACCGACATATATATCAATATACCCACGTATTTCCGAATCTCTACTTCATTTGTAACGAACTTTGTATTGATGTTTTCTTGGCATGCTTGAAGATTAGTTTGATAAACCAATAAATTATAAATCTCGTCTGTGAAAAAGTACCCGAAGGTTTGAAACGGTGTTTGTAAATAATCGAACTCAGTTGGCAGTTTCTTTTCCCCCTGAAAAACAATTTGATTTTTATGAAGCTGCATATCTTTGTTCTTCCAAATAATTTTTTTCAATTCAGGATTGCCATGATTCAAATCAGAATAACCTAGTAAGAATTTATTAGTTTTTAAGTGAATAAACATAATCTTAGGTATATTTACTGGAACCAATGAAGCCACCATTATTCGCGTTGATTCCAGCCCGATAGCATCTAGCTCTGGTAATGGAGATCGGGGCCGCTTTGATAGTCGAATCTTTCGTAGTTCTTTTCGAACTTCAATCTCAGGTCGTGCAATATGTTCGTTCTCTGCCCCTACATCAGCGGTCACATTAAACGAACAGCTAGCTATAGGTGAGGAACGCCGTAATTCCACTGCAGATGCACTAATTTCATTGGCATCACTAAATTTGATCATGTTGAACGATGTATCAATAGCATATGACATGAATACTGATGGTGCTCGAACCAATTCACCCATATATTCATCAATCTGTGCTTCATCTTCTGATGAAAGAACATAGCTTGGATTGCAGACACTATCATCATCAAAATCGCTGATTTCACCTTCATCCGTGCTAAGATCCTCATCATTTAGAGAATTCATAAACCTTTGTATCTCTTCATCTTTTAGTGGAGAGACCTACGCCTTGTATTTTCCATTTCTTAAATAAAGAGCATGGATAATATAATTCAATGCTAATTTTAGCATATACAGTAGAGAAAAGTCGAAAACCAAAGAAATATCTACTAAAGGCAACAGTATAATATTCACTATAATTAATTAGAGTTCAAAGCCAATACAAAATTATTGAATTAGTAAAACGTTTATAACTATTTTATTTTTTTTTTCAAATTTCACTTCTTTCACTATCACTACGTGCACCTCATACGAATTTTCAACATCAACTGGTCATAATTTCTCTCAAAAAAAGATAAGAAGCTTCAAAACAAATGTACAGGAGGCCTTACATATTTTTTGCATAAATTTTTATAGGACCACGTTTAACTGTATATTATTTTAATATTTGCTATTGCCTGCCTATAGGCGGTCTTAGGCTCTAGAGGGTTAAGTGTCCCTATAATGTAAACAAATAATTATACACCAACAATTATGTTGTTTTATTAAAATTATCCGGCTAGTTAGTAGTTAACATATTATGTGGAAATACCATGAGAGAAATCCTTAATTCGAGATCAGTTGTTCACCCAAAAAAGATGTTAATGATATTTATATGTGTCTTCTCATGTGCAATCATTGTAGCACAAATATCATACACATACTTATACAACTGTATAGAAAACACTTTTGCATCGAGCTTACATCAAATTTGCGGTTTTTTTTATATATGTGACCTGGTCTACGGAAAGGGGGCTGTTCGGAGCAGCAGCCGATAATGCAATCAACATAAATCATTAGCCTCACATCGCAATATAAAGCGTTACATTTAAGCTTCAAATATTTTTATCATTTTGTTTAAACTTCTAAACATTTTGTACCACCCTAGCATAAATATTCCCAGTCCGTTATTGAACATATGTACATTATTATTGTAAAACCACTCACTTTATATTCCAATTGCAAAACATATGAGCATATACATGGAGGAGGGTAATTACTTGGGCTCATACATACTATTATACTGGACGAATGCAGGCGAACGGGATATGATGTGTACATAGTATGTACAACTGCTGTCGCTCTTAAGGCGGGCGTACAAGCATGTACACATATCCATAAAAAACGGTCCATATGTATATCAAATAATGAGAGCATGTAAAAAAGAACAAGTTTAACTATGTATTACTTTTTATCGCTCGAGGCTCTCATCTGCATAGAATTAAATATCACCGTTGTAAACTCCGTAATTCTCCTTTATGCTCACTATTAAGAACAAACATTTTGTACATAATGTATACATATATACCTACACTAATAGGCTATTGCTCATGCGGAATTAAGATTTGCAATCATTCGATTTTGGCAATAGAACTGAGCAGCAGCT